CGTTTGTCGTTGTTTCTAATTTTATGTTTGTATCATCCTGCATTCGCTTTAAATTCGCCGTATGTTACCTGTTCATATTTCAACTAATTCCCGGCTGTTTGCTAGTCAGTCAGCTGGAAAGAGTTGGTTTTTCACTACCGACGTTAGCTGAATAAAGTTTGTTATTCGGTTTTGATGGACGTGGTCTGGGATTGCTTCTAATTCGATGAGAACGCCGATTGAGTCTTTTATAAACGGAGAAATATCAACTATTATTCAGTTAGTCAATTATTATTTAATAATGTCATCGAGCTTTCTTGATAGTTTCTAATTTTTCTGAAAAGCTCTCGAAATTCTTTTGTTACGCGGTTATTATGTGTCGTTCAGCCAAGTGACTACACCTTCATAACGTTCTACCACTTTTACGATACATAAAAATGATATTTGCACGTTCGTACCTGTAGATGCATGAGACGTGGATCTTATTGTCTACTTACAATTAACAAGAAGTTGATTTTCAAGTATCTATTATGCAAATGTGAGGATTGATTGAAATTTCTTTCGCGTTCTCCACCAGTAAGTTACTTTAAGAACACAAAACACAAACATGAGTAAGTTACAAAACATAAGGAACATATATCGATATAAATTATTAAGTCAAACCAGTCATTTTGTGTAGTGAAATAATCATGTAGTATTTTTTTTTAACTTACTCGTGTTTGATTGTGTATTCTCAATAAAGGTTAAAGCCTCATCTATTTTTTACATTTGAGTTTTCTAATGACCTTATATTTTATTTATTTATTGAAAAGAAAAGAGGAGAGTTATTGATCAATAATACAATAATTGAAAGAAAGATACTCTCGGTTGTAGTAGGTAACTATAAATCATAAAGTCACGCTTTTCACATTTCAAAATGGTCTTATTGATCGGGGACTGTTGGTTAAGTTCGCGTTGGGTTGGTGCGAACTAATCGACAAGATGATTTCGTCGATATTGAATTGCAAAGGTTGCTATTAAGAAATAATAGCTCATTTGATTAAGCAGGAACGCCTACTACGTTACGGAAGGGTTAAAAATCCGCACTGGAAAGCGAACGGCCTGCGAAGTCGCGCTTGTGGATTAAAGGTTCAATTGCGAACAACCACGAAGCGGACGAATGTGGTTGCATGTACTTAACGCTGCCTAATATAATTATTATTACAGTACCGATTTGATAACTGTAGGTGTGCTCATAAAGCCATAAGAAATTGTTTTAGAGCATGCAGTTATATTGCTGCAGCAGGTCAACGGTGAACAGTTTCCAACAGATAAGGTTTTCTGACCTCGACGAACATAATGTGCTTGAATATCGCTCTTAGACCCAATAACGTTTTTTATTTTTAAAAGGCCAAGTCAAAAATCACACCTTAATTGTTTTTTGTCCACTAAATATCACTTTTGACTCGACAATTATGACTGATGAAAAATTAAAGAATATAGGTTTTATTCTTAATTTCGATGTTTCGAATGAAGCTTTACTCGATTGGATTTCTCCTTTTTCACTTACGATTTGATTGCAATAGTTTCTTAATCTCTATCTTGCTATTNGTTAAAATTATGTACTTAGCTGTTACAAAAAAATAAAGAACGAAACGACAGTAAACATGCATTTTTTTTGGATGATTATTAAATTGCCTAACTTCGAAAAGCATTTATTTAAAAACCAAGACTCCTAAAAACTTTTATTTAGTTAGTGTGCTCACCTTATCTTTACGAGGGAACTAATTCCTCTAGTTCAGATGGATTTCAAACCAATTTTATTTTAGTATAGAACTTTGGAGATTATTCTGAACCACCGTATCATCAGTATTTAATAACTTCGAGATTTTGTTTCCCGGTCGTAAAATTCTCCGTTGTTTAATTTTGTTTCCTAACTTTTTTTTTCTTTTATTTTCCATGACAATAAAAAAACAATCTAATTTTAGTTTCCTTTATTTTTCCGAGTAGAAAATGTAAAACAGTTGTCAATTTATTATCGTAATAATAATAAATAACAGTTACAACACATAATTCGCCGTTAAGATAATAAAAAGGAATTTTAGAGATGTAGGGTACAGTAGTAATAATATAAGAAACGAGGTGGGGATCATTTTGATAGAAAATGCAGGTCGGTGGAAAGAATATTTAGAGAACATATATGAGTTAGGAGACATATTAGAGAAAAAAGATAGTGTGGAGGTAGGTGAGCTAGGTTATCCCATAATGATGGAAAAGTTCGATGTAGCATTAAAAAACTTAAAGAATAATAAGGTGCCAGGTACAGATGAGATACAGGCGGAAATTCTAAAACATGCAGGACAAGAGGTTAGAGATCGTATGTTTAAGCTAGTTGGTCACATTTACGAGAAGGGAAAAGTCCAGAGGATTATAAACGGAACGTGGTAGTAACCATACCCAAAAAGAGAGGCGCGGATAGGTGCGAAACATTTAGAACAATTTCCAACTTAATTTCCCATGCGTCAAAAATCTTAATTAGAATTGTACAGAGCAGGATGGAAAAAAGGGCGGAAGAACTATTAGGGCAAGATCAATATTTTAAGAGAGAAAAGAGTGCGTACATAGGATTTGTAGATGTTAGATGTACTTAAAAATGTAGGGATGAGTTACAGAGATAGAAAAGCGATACTTAGTTTGTATAGAGAGCAATAGGCAGTTATAGAGCTGGGGCTGCAACGCAGAGAAGTAAATATTAAGAAGGGAGTTAGACAGGGATTCACACTATCACCGCTATAATTTAATCTATACATCGAAGATGCGATCAACATCATTAATGACAGTACAACTGCAGGGATAGATATGCAAGGGCAAAAGATTAGTAAGATTAGATTTACAGTTGATATATCAGTATTAGCATCTAAGTAGTAAGGAGGAGTTAGAGATAGCTTTAAATAAAATTGAAGCGGTATTGACAATACAGTATTGTATGAAAATGAATAAAAGTAAAACGAAAATACTGGTATGCAAGGGATGAAAAAGTAGGGAAAGAGCGAATATAAAGATAGGTGACGAAAAGTTAGAAGAAGTGACTAATTTTAGATATCTAGGTAGTCAGATAAGTCAGGACGGAAGGAGTAGTAAGGATATAAAGCAGAGTATAGCGCAGGGTCGAGTCGCCTTCAATAAAAAAAAGTCACTTCTATGATGGCAAACGGTTAATTTAGAAATTCGAAAAATGTGTATGTTTGGAACGCTGTACGGATGCGAAACATGGACGGTGGGCGCGGCGAAAATGAATAGGTTTAAAATTGTTCGAGATGTGGTGTTACTGGTGATTGATGAGGATAAAGGCGTTACCAGGTCTTCATCGATCTAAGCGCAAACTGTGATGGACCCATGTGATCCTCATCCAAGACCTCTCATCTCACCTGAAAATGCGTCAGAGTTAGGGCCCTTTCGGCTCTTATGAGTTACTGAATGTGCATAAAAACAACGCATTAGCAACAAAATTTTTGGTTTCAGTGAAGTCAGGTGCTACTCGATTGCATGTGCCGAAGCATGTGAACATTTATGTTCATTATATGTGTAGGTATTATTGTAGTATATATTTAGAGTTGAGCCATTGGACATACATATACGATATAAAACCAATAATTATTGTTACCGGCCGGGATTGATATATGCGTCTGTGGTCGTAAACCTGGACGACAGGTTATTGTTTTCTAACATAAATTTGTAACAGTGAAAAGGCGTACGTACGTAGCGATCGCAAGAATAGATAGCAACTGATGATTAGTATGCAATTAACGGCGCTTTAGTGTGTGACATCGATTTTCGTGTGGGTTACACGTTACAGCAAATGCCATCAATAAATAGCTCTATGCTTAATAGTACTATTGTAGAGTGTACGTAGAACTATTATTATTATCCTCAACTTCGTTATTATGCAAAACCAGGAACTCCGATATTTCCATCGTAGATATTAATCGAGGACAGGGTTTTTTTTCGGATTTTTGAAGTGAAACTTGTATTTAGACGGAGCGTAGGTATTACGATTTTTTCTGCCGCGTAGAGAGGGTAGAGGATATATCGCGAGGTCAGTTGCGGCAGCGGCGGAGGGAGTGGAAGGGTGGCGGCGGCGGAGATAGGGCAACAGCTGTAGTAGATGGTTATAACGCGCAGCCGCGCGGAGAGCGGGGAGTCCGCTAGAGTCCCGACGGCGTGTGGTGTGCTCAGCTGTTATTTTCTTACCTCTGCTCTCCACGTGTCTGAGCATCATTGCCTCTTTTTGCGGTTCTTGTAAAAACCGAATCATTGCATTAAACCTGTGAAAACTAAATATGTGCAGGGACACATAGTAGAAATGAAACGGATATAATATAATATATGTATACACGAGTAGGTAGATATTATTATGACCAATATTAATAACGTATTTGAATTTATTATGTAATTAGACAAAACCAGGAAAACTTAAACTAACATTAATTTAATTTTCATGAGTTGCATAATTTACATAATTTAATTTTTCTATCTCTAACTTATTTGTTGTTAAAATTATGTACTTAGCTGTTACAAAAAAATAAAGAACGAAACGACAGTAAACATGCATTTTTTTTGGATGATTATTAAATTGCCTAACTTCGAAAAGCATTTATTTAAAAACCAAGACTCCTAAAAACTTTTATTTAGTTAGTGTGCTCACCTTATCTTTACGAGGGAACTAATTCCTCTAGTTCAGATGGATTTCAAACCAATTTTATTTTAGTATAGAACTTTGGAGATTATTCTGAACCACCGTATCATCAGTATTTAATAACTTCAAGATTTTGTTTCCCGGTCGTAAAATTCTCCGTTGTTTAATTTTGTTTCCTAACTTTTTTTTTCTTTTATTTTCCATGACAATAAAAAAACAATCTAATTTTAGTTTCCTTTATTTTTCCGAGTAGAAAATGTAAAACAGTTGTCAATTTATTATCGTAATAATAATAAATAACAGTTACAACACATAATTCTACGTATTTGTGATATCTTATTCCTTATCATGGCATTTTTCGTTGTTCTTGCAATTTGACTGCTTTTTTCTTCATGTTAATTATACGTTTTTCCGCTCTCGTGATAGTATTTTTCGAAACAATGGACTTTTTCACGCACGATCTCGTAAACGGAACTCTAGAGACCACTGTTTCTGCCGCTGTCATTCTCTTAGTTGCTTTCGTTTTCGTTGATGCAACTCGTGTTCCTACACAAACATTTTTCTTTTCCGAAATCTGAGAATTGTTATCCGAACGACTGAAAATGGTCGCATCTTCTAACGGTGTTCGCGTTCTGCCAGTGACAGACGATGTTGTTGATAAAACTGAAGAAAAATTTTCTTTTAATTCACACTTTCGACACGTCCACTTATCGTCGTTTAATTCTGACCAAACAATTCGCGGAGTGTAACATTCTCGATGGTATAATGCCTGACATACGTTACATTCTATCAGACGGTTAACTGCTTCTACATCAAATTTGTTACAAATTGCACACTTAAGGTCATTTAATTCTCTAAAGTCATTTTCGGAAATGTTCCTTCTAACGTAGTACTGTTCTTTGTCTTTTTCTAGTGATGCTGAAATAATTTTTGTTATTTCGTTACGTGCATCATTAATGGCCCCTTTCAATCTGGTCAAAATATATGAATTTACTGCACCGATTATATGATCTAAACAGTATAATGCTGATACAACTAACTTCAATGTAATATCGATCAAAATCGTCTGAAATCATGACTCATTATTAGGTATTTTAAAGATTTCTTATCGCCTAGTTGTGACATGAGACTTCTATTCTAATTACATTGACCACTTGAATATTCTTTACATAATACAAATATATCTGCTTTGTAGTGATTTTATTTCGTTGTGCACTGGTTGATTGAGTTTTATAATTAATATCTCGTCCTATTTAAGCTTAGTTTCACAAGCGGACAAACTTATAATATGTTTGGATTGGAGTAGAAAACTACGGAAAAAGAGCTTTCGTTTCTAGTATTTCATGCAAACATCAAAAAAGAAAATCATAAAATCCTATAAAACAACCGATCCAAATCGAATTTATTAAATAAAAATTGCACTGAACAGTATGAAATCAAGATTATGTCTAAAAGGATTATGGGTTTAACGACTGACAAAACATACAAAGATACAACACTCCCATTAAATAAAATGCTTTCAGGTACTTACGTTTTGCTTTGCTTGATTTCATAATAAGGAATTATCGTTTCCGAAACGTTAGCTATGATATTAATTAAATAAAATTTAAATTTATTCAAAGCTCGGTCAATGTTTCTTAATAACTTTCGTTAAAAATAAGCGAATACAAATTTAATGGAAATGACAACGCCCTGTAATTTCATTAAGTTTATTAAACAGGAGCGTTCCGATTTATTTTTTTTTTCCTTCTCCGACACAGTGACTGAGTGACTGGAGGGATAATTTTAATTGGTCGTTTTTACTTGGTTCCTGTGTAGAAAAGCTATTATGCTGACAAATCCCCGGGGTGTCTTATTATTCAACTTTTTGACACGGTTCTCCGCCGCAATGGTTTGTTTGGTGCTTGTTTGTACCAGCAAGACCAGGAGTGAACAAACCCTTCTTTTTCTTACCATTTTCCTTGAACGGAGACTCAATCATCAATTTAATGTAATGCTATTACTAAATGAAACTCTAAATTTACCCACTATTTTTCATAACTGAAAATGATTTTTCGTTCGTCTATTAATTGCTCGACTTGTATTTCAGTTAGGGGCAGCTTTTTGGCCTATTAGTAAAAACACGAAACCCCAATTATTCCCTAAGACTAGAACATCCCATATCCTTAACTATTTCTGAACAGTAATCTAATCTAGGTCTACTTCTACTCCTCTTAACTCCTGCTTTTGATTCTAATATGTCTAACTAGCCCTAGCTTGAGAAGGTGTCCTATCAAACTATTTCGCCTATTTCTTATTGATTTCCACAGCATCCTCTGTTCTCCTACTCCTTCTAATACCTTCTGATTTCTAACTTTCTCTTTTCATTGTATTCTCATCATTTGCCTGTAACACCATATTTCGAATGCTTTTAACCTTTTCTTTTCCGCCGTGCCCACCGTTCGCATCCATACATAGCCATACACCTTTAACATATTTCTAAATTAGCCGTAGAGAGCATACAAATTACTTCTTTTTGCTAAAAGCAACTCGACCATGCACTATCCTTTGTTTTATATCTGTTCCATCCTGAATAATTACCTGACTCCTTAGATACCGAAAATCTGCAACTTCTTCTAATTCTCATATCTTTATATTTCCTTACCTTTTCTTCCACTGCATATTAGGTTCAACAATTGCCTTTAAGAAATTATCTTTTCTGAAATTCAGGATTGAGTTTAGTGAATGTCCTGAAGATGTCCTATGCGATCGAGGACAAAGTGAAGCCAAATTTTAGAATCCTGAAATTCACCCTAAATAATACTTGAGAAAACTCTATAAATAATTAACTTGCGGATGTCCTATTTACTTGTGGATTGTCTATTGTTTGTTCACTCGTGAAGCATTTTTTATCTGCTTGTGTATTCTGGTCAGAGACGGTACGCAGGTAGCCAAGATAAATTTCGTATAATGAGTTGAAAGCTCTGGGAACAACCGGTCTGAGATCTTGTGGATCTTGGAGAAGCAGAGCAAGCAAAGCCAAGCAGCTAGGCTGCAGAACAGGCAAGCAATAACACCAACAGCAAAGCTCTTTCTGACTTCGTCGACTGCGATGTTTGTTTAGTCGATTTTGCTTGACCAGGATACTCATTGCTTTTGTATTATTCTTACGTTAATGCCACCGAATGACTACCCAATTCCGATAACAATCCGTATGACTTTTAAACGTTTACTTTTGTATTTTTTGGCTTCGAACCTCACCTGCTTCCAATTTTCGGCGAGAAATCCTCCTACTTATTCGAAATATTCAGGTAATGGTAGCTTTTTAATGAATGAAAATGTGAATCTAAGTTAAGAAGCTTAGATTTGTCAACAGTAATTATAGGAATGAGACATTTTTCTAGAGAAGGGTGATAGGGATTGTGGTCAGAAAATTAAAATTAAATTAATTATTAGTATCAATAACAATTCAAAATTATATTCCCTGTTATCCTAAAATGTTGCCCCCCCCCGCCCTTTCGTTTCTCTGAAGGCGGACAGCTCACTAGCCCACTGTTTTTGTTCCATTTAACGTTGCCGCCCAAAGGGGATTGAATTAAGTATACCGAGGTCTACAGTTTTATAAATTTTCGATGACGTTATTAGAAAAAACATTACAACAGTTTCTTATCCTCTGTATTCCTTATTATCTGAATGTGATACCATATTCGTCTATATGACGTTGAGATCGCATGCTCAACTCTCCGACTAATACCTCTAAGTCTATTATATTACGTGGGCGTTACAATAAAATAGCGAAACGTTTGGGAATTGGCTGAATAAACATTTCATCGATGCTATCTGGGCTCCATCCCTTCAGAATTTTGTTTTTAAAGTTTATGGTGTCATGTATCAGCCAGCACCAGTTAGGCTTGTCTTTACTATTATGGTATAAACCAGGGGTGGTCAACAAGTCTATCGCGAGGCCAATTTTGGTCGATCGTCGATCGCTCGCAATGTCTGGGGTGAATCTATCTTGAAAAAGTATCGGAAAATCGAGTCTTTTTGGTACCGTATATACGGAATGCTGCTATCAAAAGTCGGGTCTGGAAATTTATTTACTACATGAACCTATATATCAAAAACTTAATGGATGATTTAAAAAATAAAAAATAGTTTTGAACATATATTTTACTTATCCACCCATATCTCGCTAGATTGCACCATATACTGAAACACATTATATAAACATAGTATGCATTTCACACCTGTTCTTCCCCCTTACACTACGCCTATGACAACAAGTCGGTTGCGACGCACTTTTAAGATAAAAGTAGTGTCCGACCGAAAGTTCGGTTTCGGTCGAGTTTCGGCATAAAAACGAGTTTCGGTTTAGTTTCGGTTTCGGCGACAAACCTGCCGAAGCTACCACCGAAACCGAAACGCGTTCGGGAGTTCTCGCGCTCTGCTCGGTCATGTTCGGCGCGTTAAATTCCATTCAAGCGAAGTAGATTAGTAGACATTTCGCATCTTCAAAAGAAAAATGAATCTAGTCTACTATACTTACTCAAATAAACATCTGACCTATTTCCTTAAATGAGGGGTTGTTATGTTGATTTTGATTTGATTATCAATAAGTGAAAATGTCAAAGACTGCAGAGCTATGTGATTTAAAGATAAAAAAATAAAACTGACTGATTATAATAACGTTTTCTTTATTTTTCTCTCAAAACATGATCCTTATAAGGAAGTTTCGGTTTCGGTTTCGGTTTCGGCCGAAACTGAGACTGTTGCCGAAATTCGGTTTCGGTTTCGGTTTCGGTCGTAAAAACCAGTTTCGGTCGGACACTAGATAAAAGGTAGATTTTATATATAGAAAAGTTGGTCACCCCTGGTATAAATGAGCAGAATTCTACAAAATAAATGTAAAGGTTCCTCGTTCTGTTGTTTGGATTTATTTTGTATTGTTGTCAGTTAAATTTTTCGAGATTTGTGGACTGAAACAGTTTGTGTAATTTTGCAGTTTGCTTTCAGTGTGCATGTTTTGGCTCATTTGCAAGCTCAACGTCCTGTATATGCGGAAACGCCAATTTATCAAGGGATCCTAAAAGGAAAGATATTGCAGCTATTACAATAAACTTAACAAGTTGAACTTTTCTTTATAGCTTTATTATGCATTATAGGATACACTATGTCAATCCGTAACAGTAAAGATAAGAAGTCAACTACAAACTTTGATATTTAAAATGCGCCAGGAAATGCTTTATTGTCTAGAATGCTCACTGGAAGCTGTAAAATCAACGTATTATTAAGGATTGCTGGTGGAAAGCTTTTACCATTATGTCACAGAAACGCTCTTCCTTATATTTACGTGCAACTCATAAAGTTTTACGCGTTCCTGTATTTTTTAATCAAACGAATGAGCATCTACTCCCTTTTATTAGTAAAAGCGTTTTTATCCGAATTTTATTTGGCACGTAACCCCTACTTGTACCATATTTTGATTCGTTTGCATTTTTAAACAATTTTAGTAAATTAGTTCATCATGAACTAGATTAGGGGTCGGCAAACTTTTGTTTCATGAATCTCAAATGCCACGAAGTTTTAATTAGGCTTTTACAACACTCAAATAGTATGCGATTATTAAGTTGGAGCATTCCGAAAGACTGTTTCAGGTGTCGAAAATTAGTGGCTCAGGCTCGGGTATACTTTTTAGAGCTGTCCTTTTATGCTGCTATATCAAAAGACATTTACGCCTTTGCAGCTCTTCTAAGCTACTACTTAGACACGTAAATTTGGAATTCCACAAATCTTTGCTTTTTAACCCGAGATAACAATGTTTAGTCTCTGAAAGCGAGACTCGACTCTCAGTCTCTCATCGAGTTTCTCTGATGTTGCTGAGAGACTCTCATACAGAGACTGTATAAAAATACCTAGGCAATAACTGAGAGACTGTGAGAGACGCTATCACAGGCGCTGAAAGACTCTGAAAGACTTTGAGAGACTGCAGAGAGAGTGAAAATTTTTGTCTAGGGAAGTAATCGGATTTTAAATGAATATTATTTAATGAAGTAAAATTTAGTTCTTTGCAGTTTTCTTCAAAAGGATTAGCAATGAAAGCCAAGGTAGACTTGTTACTTTTGAATTGATCAAATCATTTATAAAAGCCATCATTCATTGTTTTGATCGTTCTTATGAACTAGCCATCTGTGTCAATAGAAGCACTATTTACATCCCGATGATTCCTTAAGGTTGGGAAATGTAATAATGTGTCCATCACCATATTTTCTGCCAAAAGAAGCCATTTATTTTCAAAACTACACTCACTACTTTGAGAGATTTCATTCTATTTTGTATTTATTTAATTGTTTAGTTGTTATCATTTACTATATTAAATATATTTCCAACTAAAATAAAAATTAAATCCCAAACTAGCACTAATTAGGTCTCAGGACATTTTTTGTATAAAGAATTGAACGCCGTTTTCGTTTAGTGTTATCGGTTATCTCATTAAATTTTTTATTTTCCCATTCTTTTATTTTTCCGTAAATTCCTGTATAAATGTTTCATTTCGTATAAAATTCTTTAATTCAGCAAAAATTTTCCATCAATATATCATTGAAAACCGATCAGTACAAACAGTTTGTTATTTTTTGAAAATATATCCTTTTTATACAACGACATAAAAATTACGGATCCAGCGGAAGAAATCCGCAGTAATTAATTATTTATTGTCGACCCAGAATCGTTTTTGCGAGTGGCGAAGAAAACTTTTGGAAGAAGTCACAAGTCGTAAATCCTCAGCTATTGTCAATGATACTGGTTTTCAACGGTTACGGCAGAAAACTTTGAGTAATTACATTTATGACTTCGATATACATATAGATATACATCTTCCTCTACAAAGTACTTAAAGAACTAAAACAATTACTTTCCTCCCTTTTGAAGTTGTCGAGAGACTCGTTAGTAAGTAAATTTTCTAGTCGCTCTCGTAAAACTCTTCGGAGATAGAAAGAGCAGCTTAATGTAACGTCTCTTTAATATATTTATAAATGCACAAGCTCTTGACGTATCCGTACCGTTTCCATTTTACTTATGAACTCCGAAGATTTTTATTTTGATATTTATTTACAGTCAAACCTGGGTAAGTGAGGATTCAAGGGACCCGAATATTATTATTATCACTCATAGAGTTTTCTCATTTGTAGAGGTTAATAAAAGTCGAACATAAACATGGAGCTAGAGCGTTAAGAAAAAGGTAATACATAAGTGTATACACGTTTGGCTATAAATAGATACTTATTTTAATTATTTAAAGAAATCAATTATTTTTTTTCAGTATCCTTTTTACAATTTTGAATATTTATGTCTTTCAATTTCATAAATTTTATCAAAAATAAAACCACTTTAAGTTTTTGCTTCAACATTTCGAGGAAACAACGTCAAACGAACTTTCTCCAATGATTGGTATCAACTGAAACCAAATGTTGAGAATGAGTAGGGTTGCCACCCGTACTTTATTATAAAGTATTGTACT